GACAATGTTCAGTCAACTGTGGAACTCATTGAAAGTGGATATTGTAAAGGCCAAAAGTATAACTGGGTTCAAAAAAGAATGAGGTAAGTTCATGGAGGATTGGTACATCAATGGCTATTAGCCAAGATGTAAAGGACACAACCCCTTGCTCTGGGTGTCCCTAAACCAGTGATTGCCATAAACTGGGACTGGACAACGGGATGGATTACTTGATAACTGCCCTGTTCTGTTCATTCTCTCTGAAGCATCTGGCACCAGCCCCTGTCAGAAGACAGGATACTGGGGTAGATGGACCATTGATCTGACACAGTATGGCCAGTCTTATGTCCATAGGCCATAACCCCATTAAAGAAGGACAGTTTGTTTTGGCATGATTTGTTATTGACAAATCCATGTTGGCTATTACTGGTTACCCTATTTTCCTCTAGGTGTTTACAAATTGTTTAATAATTTATTCCTGTATCTTCCCATGTATCAAAGTTAGACTGACTGGTCTATAAATCCTCAGGTCCTATTTGTTCCCCCTTTTAAAGATAGGCATTATGTTTGGGTCCTTCTCCAGTCCTCTGGGTCCTCACCCCCTTCTCCCTGAGCTCTTGAAGATAATCACTAATGGTTCTCTAAGATTGCTTCATCTAGTTCAGGGGTGGCCAACCTGAGCCTGAGAAGGAGCCAGAATTTACCACTATACGTTGCCAAAGAGCCCCAGTAATCATCCATAGGCTTGATCCTAAGGGTACATGATCCATCCCACCATCCATAGGCTTATGGTCCATTTCATCAGTCCCTGCCAACTTGAATACATTTAACTTATCTAAATGTTATTCTTTAACATGTTCTTTCCCTATTCTGACGTGTGTACCTTCCCCCTTGTTGTTAAAATTGTGTTAAGCATCAGAGGGCAACTTTCTACAATATCTTTGGGAGACCCCATATTGTATTAATGACTGTGGCAGCTTGCCACAACACATGAGGCCTACAAAATAATGGGTTTAAAACAATTCTATAAACTCTGCTATCCTGACCTAAAACCAGGGTTAGTAGACAAAGATCACAGAGATAAAACCGTAGTTGGGAAATTGGCAGGCCATTATGTGGAGAGTCAACCTGGGTTTGATAGAAAACCTAGCAATGAAGGAATGGGACCAGATCACAGGGATTGAATGCAAGCAGAGGCCCACACCTGGCAGCAGGGAAGCCGTGGGATGGGTCGGACAAAGTAGGGTCTCATCTGTGATCAGCCAGGTCAATTTGCCTGGGATTGCCTGCTCCGCCCAGTGCAATGCTCGAAAAGCCAGCTGCAACCCCAACCTCACAGAGTTAACTGGGTGACAATCTCCAGAGGGAGGGAGTCACATAGTACACCGATGGCATACAATCTTCATGCTGAGCCAGTCACACCCCAAACTACTGCCTGTGTGTCATGCTGCACCCTCTTAGGTGCAGACCCATTGGACCCTCAGTGGGAATAGAAGGTGGCAGTCAACGGGGAGACATTCACTGAATGGAGAGATACCAGGAGAGATAGTTAAGCTCCATGTCCTGAAACACCATCAAATGCTCTCAGGGTGTGAAATGTGGGTAAAGACTCCTGGTATAACCTTCACTCAACCTATACCACAGGTTTCTATACAGACTCAGGAAGGGTCAGGGCACAAGGGGTAGGTGCATTGTCATATATCCATATTCTTTGCTTTGGGGAATAATATGGCTCTAAAAACAGAAGGGGTGAATCAGACCCCCTCTGCTAACTCCAGGCCTTCAAGGGACTGTGTTAGCCAGAATGCTAACGGAGTAGTTGAAAAGGTGGTGTCGGGGGTGGGAGTAGGGAAGGGTCATATCCTCCCTGCCAGTATCCAAGAGGAATCAGGTTATTTTCTCAGTATATGCAAACAAATACCTGAGGAGAGGGTGGGTGAGATAGCCACCTACTCCAGGGGAGCGAGGAGACCTATTGAATTAAAGGGAAACCCTCTGGGTCCTGAAGCCCGCGCCAGGGAAATAACTTCTCTGACTACTCTTATCAGGGAACCAGAGGAAGTACAGAGCATGGGGATGGCAGTGACTCCAGCCAAAAGTAGGGAAACTGAAGCAAATCCAGTGCACTGCTCAATCTATGACACGCCCAAGTGTAAGACAGCTGCTTGGGAGATGACAACAGTAACTACAGCCAGGAAAGACGGGGAAATTCTCCCTAGAGTCTGTGACTGCCTGACGGTCTGTGAAAATGTAAAGGACCCTGAGCCTGGTGGAGGAAAATCTGTTGCTCTCCTTGACTCAGTATGAGCATTGACCTGCTTAACCCAGGGTTGTGAGTTCAATCCTTGAGGGGGCCATTTAAGGATCTGGGGCAAAAATCTGTCTGGGGATTAGTCCTGCTTTGAGCAGGGGGTTGGACTAGATGACCTCCTGAGGTCCCTTCCACCCCTGATATTCTATGATTCTAATATACAGAGATGAACAGGCCACCCCATCGGGATGGGGGATCAATACTCCTCCCATTCCCCCACAGAAGCTGAAGTAAAGCCACAGGAGTCCCCGGGGCCCCAACCTCTGAGGAGGTGGCCTAGAGAAAGGAATTTGGCCATGGGGGATGTTTCAAGAATCTCTCTTGTCCAACCCCTCTGCTGTTAAAGCAACGCCTGGTTGAGAGCCGCTTCACAGGGAGGCAGCCTTGCTTGATTTCTCTCTTTTGTCCGAAGAATACGCGGGGACTCAGCCCACTGCCAGAGGAGCTGATACCTTGAGGGACAAAGGGACACCACACACGCTCCCTAAAAAACCAGATGGAAGGTGGGAGTGGGAGGACCAGGTCCCAAGTTCACACCCAAAGGTTTTGGGGGAACAAGGGCAAGAGGGGGAAAGCAGGAGCTTCACCCTGTAGTCCTAACAGGAGAAATTATACAGGATGATTGTTAAACAACATTTCTGAGGGATGTATGCTGACTTGCTAGCAGAATGTTTATTACATGCATAGGTGAAATATTACCTTATGAAAGGTAATGGCTTAAACTCCATTCAGGGAATAAACCCGTGGATTCCTCTAGGATGCTGGTCAAGCACCACAGTTACACCCACTTATTTAGGGAGGAGATGAGACAGACAAGGTAACTTCCTACAATAGCTATGGAAGACCATATCATATTAAGTATATAAATGGTTTATGTATCATTGTGGGCCAGGGATTGTATATACTCCATCGTGGGGAGATGGATACCACAGCTCCTCCAGGAAGTGAAAACAATAATAAATGATTAAGACAAATCACTCATGTTATAACATCTCCAGAGAGGTACCATTTCCTAGGGAAGCTCATATATTCTGATTCAAACCGGATTCTCCACAGACCACCAGACAAAAAATGGACTTCTGGATAAGTAGCCCAATAAATAGGAACGTTTTTTTCCTTTTATCTAAAGAATAAATGTTCTTGCTTAGAAAGAGCTGTGTGATTGCTCTCCAAGGATTATGGAAGTTAAGACAGGCAGACAGTTTGCTGGGGACATCACAGTGAAATCTAGGGAGCTGTGCAGCCTTAAAACCCTTGGTCAAGAGAGAATAAGACATGCATGTCAGTCCAAGAGAGGTGATGTCTCAGAGCCAGAAACTTTTAAGTAGGTGCCTTGAGGGACCACAGAGAGGGAATACAGGTGCAGTTACCCTGAAACTGACAATCTTAGTGAAGAATGAAGCAAAACAGAAATTAAGCATCTCAGCTTTCTTGATGTCACCTGTTATTAGTTCTCATTCCCTGCTAGGTAGCAGACCTACACTTTCCTTCACCTTTCCTCTTGCTCTTAATGTAATTTAGAAACTCCTCTCATTACCTTATGTCCCGTGCTAGGCATAACTCATTTCATGCCTTCGCCTTTCTGATTTTGTCCCTATAGGCTTGTGCTATTCATTGGCACATCCCCTTAGCAAACGGTCCCTATTTCCACTGTTTGTAGGATTCCTGTTTGATTTTCAGGTTAGGAACGTGCCCCTCATGGAGCCATATTGGCCTCCCCGTCCTGCTCCTTCCTTCAGATCCAGTCCCCTTCTCCTCCTCCTCTGCCAGCCCATTGCTCATTTGCCTGACCGAAGTGGGCGAGGCGAGGGCCAGCTGGCGCCCCGGCCGAGCGGGGGGGGAGCAAGGAAGGGGGTGGGCAGGCCGTGGCCCCGACAGACCAAGTGGGAAGGGGGGATGCCCCGGGCCGAGCGGGGGAGGAGGAAGGGGGAGGCGGGGGAGGAGGG